TATATATATAAGATTTTGCATATTATATATATACATATATATAACATATATTGAAAATTCACATCCAATCCAAATATAATAAAAGGAAAATGATTAACATTTTAAAATTTTATCTCTCCCAAAGAAGCCAAAGTTGATTGTTGAGTTAATTTAATACTTATTGATAATACTAAAGATGTACATATTTGAAAATAGGGCCTAAGCTTGACTGGGTTCTTAGCAGGATGAAATGTTTACTAATTATTCATTATTCCATTTTTTTTTAAATAGAAATGCAAATAATAGTGAGAATGGAGATAAAGATAGATTTGTTGATAGTGAATAATGATTGGGACGATTTAAACTTTGTCACTCTGTATGTGGGGTTTGACCGAAGTGGGGGATAGGGTTGCAGTGTCATTCCTGGGTAAAGGGAGGCAAAAAACATGAGTTCCATTCCTTTAGGTAGAAAGGGCTAATCAGTATCCCCTGTAGTTGGTCGGGAAGGGTTCCTATCTACCTTATGCATCGCTTACGTAGCGGCTCCGGTTAATTTGGGATTACTCTGTGACGGGGAAGTCGGGGGTTGAGTGAGAGTGGGCCTCGGTCAGCTAATTGGGAACAGAGGCCAGTCTCCCCCCAAAGGTCAATTCCTACTCCCTCCTTCCAGGGGAAAGGTGGATGTTTTTGCCGTTTCGAGGGGTTCGATTGGACTTTATGATCTACGTTTAGCCTCCTCCTTCTTTGCCCTTAAGAGACTATCCCTAATCATGTATAATCCTTCTTCATCCCTTCTCAAAAAGATCATGAATTTCTAAGTTCTTCAAGTATCCCTTTGTACAGTGAGTCAAAAAGGACGCAATTTTTCATCTCAAAAATGCTGATATTATTTTTATAAATAAATATATATTAAGCAATATATACATTTAGTAGTCACAATTGACTGTATTATTTTAGTTCATCATATTTTCGATCTATGATCTTAGTTGAGATGACTAATGTTGCTGGCTTTTTCATCTCAACCAAGACCTTACATTAAAAGTATATATATATATCAAAAATATGTAAAAAATCTAAATTATGATTCTCAAAAAATAATTTACTTAGTTGAAATTGTTGACGAACGATAATAAACAAGTTAATTTTTATATTTAAAATCACATTGTTTATATGTCCATATACAATAATGAATATTCGTAGCGTACATTTATTTCCCACCAGTGCAGTTATTTCAATGGAAAAAACCCAAGAAAATTGTTTTCAGTTCCGTGGTTGTTTAAGTGTTTTCTAGATAGAGGTTAAAGTTACTGAAAATTTGCAAATCGGTAATATGAGCATCAAAATAGGATGGAAGCGTATTAAATTTGCAATACCGCATTTTCAGAATGATTAAAAAATTTCCAGCTAGCTCAGCCTCACAATTAGCGTCAGATATTATCACAACCTTTTAACACAAATTTCAGCGTTCAAACGGTAAAAATGTCTCTCGTGTAGAAATGTGTGGTGTTCAGTGACCGTTAGCCAATGATTATTTGGAGATCGTGAGGTACCGTCTGGTATGACGTAGGTTTTAGAAAAACTTTTCTTTATTGTGCCAACGTTTCGATCTTTATTGAGACCATCTTCAGGGCTCAAAGTGTTCGTTCTCTTATGTCGTGTTGAGAGTGCACAGTCGTTGGCATGATAACGAAAATGTTTTTCTAAAACCTACGTCCCACCAGACCGCACCTCACGATCTCCAAATAAATAATTAAGAAGAATTCACACTGTTAATTATAAAAACGTTATTAATTCCTGTCATACCGGGCTAGTTGGGTTTCACGGAAGAGGGTTTTAACCAATCTACAACGATCATTTAATATTATTAATCTAATAAAATTCCATGGGCCATACTAATCGAACCCAGAACCTTTCAACAAAATAAAATCCGAAACACACCGCCACAAAACAAAAAATGGATGTTGATATGATGATAAATATAATTTAAAATAGATTGTTTGATATGGATTATGTTTTAATTTTTATGAAAGAAAATCTCAATTCATCTGTATGGAATACAGTGAGTGTAATGGGTATTTCCAAAAAATAGTGTGCACCGAGTTCTAAAAACTTATAGAGGTAAACCATTCAAGAGTTCTGTTGTTCAAGGCAAACCGACTGAGAACGAAGAATTACTTTTTTTGGATGTTTGGACATGTTAATACAGCAAATTTACTATTTATTATCCCATATTGTATGTACTGTTAGTCCAAAGTTATACAATTTAACAGTAACTAAAGTAAAGCCATATAACTTACAGCAATTAATTAAATTTTTTGATTAAGATGAAAAAAAGTTAATGGCACGAGCGGGATTCGAACCCGCGATCTTCGGCTAGATACGCCGCTGCTCTACCAATTGAGCTGTCGTGACCTCGATCCACTCGGACATCAACTTCCTATCTCAACCCCACCTTATGAGTTTTCCCTCCTTTTTGCCATTTTTCAAATGTCGTGTAATCGTTTTGGATTCTCGACGACAAATGAAATGGCCACGGAGAGCTTTAGTGAAGTGTACTTCATTTTAATCATTAAATTCACTAATTTCGTGGTCCGCTTGACCAATTAATACATTACAATTAATGAAGGTTTTTAGTTGAGATGAAAAAGAAATGGCAAAAAGGAGGGAAAACTCATAAGGTGGGGTTGAGATAGGAAGTTGATGTCCGAGTGGATCGAGGTCACGATAGCTCAAGTGGTAGAGCAGCGGCGTATCTAGCCGAAGAACGTGGGTTCGAATCCCGCTCGTGCCATTAACTTTTTTTCATCTCAACTAAAAACCTTAATTAATTGTAATGTATTAATTGGTCAAGAGGACCACGAAATTAGTGAATTTAATAACTTACAACATTGAAAGTGTGAAATACCCCCAGTCTTTGAATTGAAATATCTCCTAAAATACTCAACCAAGCTAATTATTCGTACTGTCCTTTTTTATAACAAAAAATCTAGTTTCTGAAAACTTGATAAATCTCATTTCAAACAATAAAGTTGAATCTCAATTTCCTACTACTGTGCCAAAAAAATTGTTTCGACACTTATTTTAGATTTTTGGAAAAAACCATAGGTGGTTACCATTTAACCTTTTTTTTTGTAACCCTTCTTCTTGGAGAAAAGTCGCTTTACTAGAGTAGAGACACTCAGTATATGGATCATTACTTATTACATCATTACATTATTGATAGAATGCCATTTTGAAAAATGGCAAAAAGGACGGAAAAATCGAAGGTTGTAGGTTGAGATGGGAGTTGGTAACCGAGTGAATCGAAGTCATGATAGCTCAAGTGGTAGAGCAGCGGCGTATTTCGAATCCCGCTCGTGACACTAGCTTTTTAATTTCAACCAAAACCTTACATAAAACGATTAATTAATTGAAAGAAGTAATTTGGTCAATAGACCACTAAATATAATGGATCATTGAGTACATTTATAACATAAACATTAACAAACCATGCTCGGTTTGACATTATTACATCATAAAATTTTGATAAATAATACTGAAAAAAGCACTTAAACACAGAAATAAAAAATGACGTAAAAATTTTGTAGGAGAGGTTATGATTTCAATTCTAATAAATAAAGCTATTGCAGTTTCAAATTTTCAATCTTGATTTTAATAAATAAAATGTGTGAACATCCATAAAAATGTGGGTATATATAGTTATTATTGAACTATGTTAACGATTGTGGTATACTGATAATAAAACAAGTCTATACGAGAATAAACATTGACCAAACAAATATCTAAGAGAAGACATATATTTATTTAAT